TCTTGTTTACATGGCCCTTGCCTTTGGAAGCTCATGCTTCATATTTGTAAGGGCCGTTCTTGTTGCTACATTTGGTCTAGCAGCAGCGCAGAAGCTATTTTTCAACATGCTTAGAAGTATCTTCCATGCACCAATGTCTTTCTTTGATTCTACACCAGCTGGAAGGATCCTGAATCGTGTAAGTTTTCTTGTTCTTCCCCTCTTTTGTTTCTGTCTCTCTCTACATCATATAATGGATTATCTTTATTCCCTCAGGTTTCAATTGATCAAAGTGTTGTGGACCTTGACATTCCTTTTAGACTTGGAGGGTTTGCTTCATCGACAATACAGCTTATTGGTATTGTTGCTGTAATGTCCCAGGTTACATGGCAAGTTTTGCTCCTAGTTGTCCCAATGGCAATTGGTTGTTTGTCGATGCAGGTGATTATAAAATTTCCAGCATAAATTTTCGTGATATAGAAAAGATTGAAGCTAACTAGAGAGAATACGTTTCTGGAAACACTGAAAACAATGTTTTGAATTTTTGTAGGATTTTCATATATATTCATTCTTGTTTTTTAAAATGCATTTTCAAAGACTTCTATGATGCCTTCTCCAATCTTTATTTTATCAGTGAAAATGAAAACGAGAAACATCAGAAGTAAACAGGCCCTACATATTTCAATATTCTTTTCAAAAAGATTTATTTCTTTATCTAAAAATCAAGACATGAAGGATAAAATAAGCCCCCTTTATTATGAAGTATCTATTCATCATTTTTTCCTATTTAGGAAAAAAATTATTCAAATGGGGGAAAAAGAAGATGCATTAATTAAGGACTAGAAATCTTCCATTAATATGTTCCATCTTATGTTTTCATAACCCCCAATGAGTTGTCTTTATATTTTGACCATCAACAAATTCAATGCAGAAATACTACATTGCTTCCTCAAGGGAACTGGTACGTATTGTAAGCATCCAGAAATCTCCAATTATACAACTTTTTGGTGAATCAATTGCTGGAGCAGCCACCATCAGAGGTTTTGGACAAGAAAAAAGGTTCTTGAAGAGGAACCTCTATCTTCTGGATAGTTTTGCGCGACCATTCTTCTGCAGTCTTGCTGCTATTGAGTGGCTTTGCCTGCGCATGGAATTACTTTCAACTTGTGTCTTTGCTTTCTGCATGTTCTCACTCGTGACCTTTCCCCGTGGAAGTATTGACCCCAGTAAGTATTTTCTTCTGACTAATTTCACATAGTTGTTTCACACTACATAACTCGATTCTTTACTATTGGATTTGTTTATCACATGGAATAGTCCACCAATAGCACATAGTTAGTGTATGATTACTCTAGCATTTTATTTCTACTTAAAGAAGGTGTATACAGTATTAGATTGTGTTAATATGGGAAAGGGCTTAAGTGATGGTTTGGAACCAAGCAGCGTGCAATATGAAACAATGTTCTGTTGCTAATAGCAGTTACTTTTCTGCTTAGGCATGGCTGGACTTGCTGTGACGTATGGCCTGAATTTAAATGGACGTTTATCTCGTTGGATACTTAGCTTTTGTAAACTTGAAAACAAAATTATATCTATTGAAAGAATCTATCAGTACAGTCAAATTCCTAATGAAGCACCACCAGTTATTGAAGAATCTCGCCCTCCATCCTCATGGCCCGAGAATGGGACAATCCAACTAATTGATCTGAAGGTATCATCTCAGTTTCACATTAAATCTTATGTTTTAATACTGATGCACAACAGTCTAATCCAAACTCTTAGCGACGTGTCTTGCATCGAAGTATTTATTATGATTTTTCTACTACAATTAGCTCTTTCTCGTGATGATCCGCCTCATTTTCCCTCTACTGTCTTTCTTGAAGGTTCGTTACAAGGAAAATCTTCCCTTGGTGCTTCATGGAGTATCCTGCATATTTCCTGGAGGGAAGAAGATTGGAATAGTTGGACGAACTGGCAGTGGCAAATCTACTCTGATTCAGGCATTATTTCGATTGGTTGAACCAGCAACCGGGAGTATCCTTATAGACAACATTGATATCTCAGGAATTGGCCTTCATGACCTTCGGACCCATTTGAGTATCATACCACAAGATCCGACCTTATTTGAGGGCACCATTCGAGGAAATCTGGATCCTCTTGAAGAGCATTCTGATAAAGAGATTTGGGAGGTTAGTATAATAATATTATTTAGATAGTCTAATTTAAATAATTGTGCGGAATTTGTGTAATTGTTAACCGGGTAATGTTGCTTTATTGTTAAAGGGTTGCTTACTCTCCAAATCCATTATATATTTTCAGTTGTCTATATCTTATAGTAAAAGAGAGTAACTGAATAGGCCTTGTATTTGAAAATTAGGGTTCTCTTTTTGATTCCTTTGAATTTGACATTCTCTCAGGCACTAGATAAGTCTCAACTTGGAGAGATCATCCGTGCAAAAGGACAAAAGCTCGATACACCAGGTAAGAAGCCCCCCAAAACTGGAATTTTCCCTAAATCCTTTCTTCACCAACCAAAAAAAGAAATAGGGAAGGTAAAGAAATAACTTATGATTTGTTTCAAATATGCAGTGTTAGAAAATGGTGATAATTGGAGTGTAGGACAACGGCAACTTGTTTCTCTTGGCCGAGCTCTGCTGAAGCAGTCAAAGATACTTGTACTTGATGAAGCAACCGCGTCTGTTGATAGTGCTACTGATAATCTTATCCAGAAGGTTATCCGAGAAGAGTTCAAAGACTGCACTGTTTGCACTATTGCACATCGTATTCCTACTGTTATTGACAGTGATCTTGTCCTGGTACTCAGCGATGGTACGTATTGTTGTATGCTATTCTCATATATCTAATGAATTATAATTCTTTTCTCTATCTCCCTATTTGACGCACATCATGAAAAGGAAATAGAGTTCAAATGTGTTTTTAAATTGAGTAATTGAGACTACTATATGCTCGCCATGCTAACATTTGACATATTTTTCAGGTCTAGTTGCAGAGTTTGACACTCCATCGCGGCTATTAGAAGACAAGTCATCCATGTTTTTGAAGTTGGTGACAGAATATTCATCGCGATCAAATGGCATGCCGGAGCTTTAAGTAAGTTGAAAACATTTCAAAACCTAAGTTGAGAAGTGATGATGCTTGAGTTGCTGCCAGTGTTGTCGGCACTTGAAAAGACATAAAATGAGCTGACGAGCGTCGACCAATCACTCCAGTGAGAGTTTCTTGTTTGAAAGAAATATCGAGGAGTTCATGATTGGCTGACATGATTTACTAAAAGAAAGAAGAAAAGAAAAAGAAAGAGGAAGGTTAACATTGGGGTGGTGTATGAATTTTGTTCAATCATTTGTAATAAATTAGCTTTGACATTGAGATAGTTAGATCTTTGCTCAGAGAAGTGTAGAGTAGGGTCTTGTTGTATTCCACAGTTTTCTTTTCTTTTTCCAAACTTTTGGACCATCTAGTCTTTACTACTCTTTAGACCATCTCTAATAGAGTTGTTGTTGTTATATGTGTGTAATAATATTTTCTTATATTTTCTTCATTAGAGAGAGATGACATGTTGTGTTGTTCATATGTAGTAATAACATTCTTCAATAAAATTGTTGGGTTCAATTGTAGCATCTACTTAAAAGTAAGTTAAGAGCCTAATTTTTTTTAAAAAAATAGAGTTAAGAAACTAAGCTTATTTATAACATCAAAAAGAAAAGTAGTGATGACTGTTAAATCAAATATTCTATGTTTGAGTCACAAATGGGAGTTAAAAAGAAATTCTTAATTAGACTCTTAGGGTATGTTTGGTTGATAAGAGAAGTTGTAAAGAGAGAAGTATGTAAGAGAGAGTGTAAGAAGAGAGAAATATGTAAGAAGTTAAATATATTTGAGGTATTGATTGTTATGGAAGAAAGATAAAAGAAATATGAGAGAAAGAAGTATTGATTAAATATGAAAGTACCAAATTGTTTTTTATTTAAATTGTATTTATAAAAAATTAAATCATTTATATATTAGCTAAGGTTATGTCAAATAATTAATCAAAATATTATATAAAATAAATAGATTAATAATTAATTATTTTGATTTAATTAATTAATAATTAAATCTCATAACACAACAATTAGAAACTCAAATTCCTTAAAAAAATAAAACAAGTAAAAAGTATACAAAACAAAGGCTATTAATGGAATAGCAATGCATTTTTTACTTTCTTGGCACTTATGAGGAGAATGAAAAAGCATGTTAATCTTAATTTAAAAAATAAAATCTTTATTATTAAATATTAAAATTTTTTTCATCTCAATTTTTATTTATTTATATTTTAATACAATTGAATTTATATAATTATTTTTTACTTTATAATTAATAGTTAATTTTAAATTTATATATATATATATATATATATATATATATATATATATATATATATATATATATATATATATATATATATATATATATATATATATATATATATATATATATATATATATTTTATAACATTTCAAATATATATTAAAATATATTTTATACCGTATCAAATAATTTTATCAGTACGGATATGGTCCCAGTACTTCATAAAAAGTTCATGGAAAAAGACATTCTTAATCAAAATCATATGGTTGAAAGTGTAGATATTCATAGAATAGTTAGATATATAATTAACTCTCAACCGTGCTCAATGTAATATCATAGTTGGAAATGATCTTAAACCTAAACCCTAATAGACTTCAGCTAATTAACATGTATAATATGATTAGAAACTGATTGTATTTTATATTTTTTTGATATATTTATTTATGTTATAATTGATTTTAATTCAAAGAAAAAGGGAGTATACTTTAGAATAAAAGAGGTGTTAATAGATCTGGTCCATATGCAGCATCGAGCCCAATATATCAAGTGTTGTCGTGCACCCTCCAAGCCTTCATAGCGTAATAGTCTCTCTCTCTCTCTCTCTCTCTCTCTCATACTGCTTCGATTGTTCTGCGTTTTCTGGGAACGCTAAGATGCAAGCCATTACAAGACGCTTAGGCTCCCAATCCTCAACTTCGCTCAAATCCATCTATCCAATTTCCCATCACTGTGTGTAACGAATTTATCTTCCATTTCGGAATTTAATGCATCCTTATCCCTATATTCCCCTTTTATTTAACCATTGTAATTGTTATCATTGCAATTGCAGATTATGGCGTGGATCACGAACGTTACGTTTCGACCATAGCTACCAAGGGTGTTGGCCACCTCGTCCGCAAGGGTACTGGTGGACGCTCATCTGTTAGGTTAATCTCATTTTCCCTTTTCTTTCTCATTCAATTTTCATTCATTCATAGTGTTTCATACTTTTCTTTTTAAATGTAAAATTTTATAATAAGATTGGTAACAAAAGTATTCATTTTTGTAACCAAGCACTTGGGCTCGAGTCCTGGAGTGGTAAAGGATCTCCTGCTCAGGAACCAAGGTTCGGGGATACCGAGTTCAATTTCGGGTGGGAACAATATTTGTCCAGTGTCAGTAGCGTTCTGGATTACTAGCGCCCCTTTCCCCGGGAACAGAGTGCGAAAAGCAAAAAAAGAATTTTAGGTCTTACATTTTTTTCCTAGGTCCTTTTAGTTTAGATTGCTGTTCTGTATGAGTTCCGAGCTAAAACCGGTTAGGATACATGTTAAATGCTTCTTGGACTCATGCCAGAAACTAAGCTGACACCCGCTCTTGGCTAGACACTTCTCGAACTATCCTAAGCTTACATTAGATCTTTTATTTTTTGAGACAAATATCAAAATGACATCTCTTATCATTTTTTAAGACTCATTATTACAGGATTAATTAGTTGTTATTAAATACACGAGTCATCTTCTTATTAGGGATTATTTGTGTAAAGATTGAATTATATATGATCCCTCTTAATTTTACTATTCTACTTTGTGAGGGCCTTAGTCTTAATCCTCAACTTATATTTTTTGTTATTTAATTACACACACGAGTTAATTTGTCTGTGGCGTCTCGGTGTCCTATATTTTGGACATTAGCAGTGGCCAAGATTCGTGCTCCATTGTTGGGAAGTGAAACTAAACTGCTAATGATATCACCATTATCTGTTAACCTTGGGCTCTATATTTGTGTGATCTAGAAGACAATTATATAGCTGATATTTTCATTTCTTAACTTATCCATAGAAGATTGGATAAAGTTTCGCAGTTGGATGTAGTTTCTGCCCTTGAGAAAATCCCAAATAAAATTTTCTAGAAATAAAGTTGCATTGCTTAGTATAAACTGATGTTCATCAGTACATATTGTAAAATTGGTTGGATGTAGCTTTAGGTTGATTTTGCATGTTTAAGAAGGACTATGCACTGTAAATAATCTTTTGTATTATCACTAGTTCATTATTTAGCATGATACATTATGTTCAATATTATCTCTTCTTGAAATTGCATCACGGATGTTTCTTGTTTATTGATATAGGTCTGCAGTTTTAAGGCTAGGGTTGGTTTTTCGTCAGGAGTGTTCAATTTTGTTCTTTTGCATTTTGATTGAATAGAAAGGGTTATTTGAAAATTCTTCTTGTAGTATGAATTATAACTTATTCACCTCATTAACCTAAAGAATAAGATCGTGCTGAGGATCAAAATCTTCTTTTGACATTTTTACTTTTCTTGCCTCTAAAATTCTTATTTCTCCATTGTTTTTGAGTAATTATAGGATTTAGAGGTTTTTTGTCTGTGTTAAATGGTCTTTTGAATGGCTGGTAGATAGTTAACGTAATGCTTGAATGCAATTCCTTGTGCAGTGGTATTGTTGCTACAGTATTTGGGGCAACTGGATTCCTTGGTCGTTATGTTGTCCAACAACTTGGTAAGTTTGTGGGTTATATAAATGTTTCAAAGATTTTTTTCCCTGGAATATTGTTAACAAAGCTTAAATATTATATTTCTTAATTTTGGGGATGCCATTCCCCTCTTCCAGCTAAAATGGGATCTCAAGTCTTAGTTCCATTTAGAGGCTCTGAAGATTCTCCTCGTCATCTCAAACTAATGGGAGATTTAGGACAGGTATCATTTGATAATGTTTTAACACTTGTAAAGAGTCCACTTTTGCCTTTTCTTCCTGATCTGAATGGAAAGTAAGTAGTGCAATGTTCTTGGGCTATTTCCATTCACTATTTGTGTTAATCTTCCTGTGACTAATCTGCCCAGATTGTACCCATGAAATTCAATCCAAGAGATGAAAGTTCAGTTAAGGCTGTAATGGCTAGGGCCAATGTTGTCATCAATCTTATTGGTATACATCTCACGTAATTCTGCAACTTGAATATTTATGAGTGTCAGTATGTGATTTTGTCCTGTAATCACATACTCATTTTGGCTTATTTGTATGTTGGCAGGAAGAGATTATGAGACAAGAAACTACAGCTTTGAGGAAGTGCACTATCACATGGCCGAGAAACTTGCAAAGGCATGTTCTTTCACATTTGTTAATTTTGTTCTCATCCTATATCATCATGTTTATGTTTTAAAATATGAATAGCTCAATACTCTATAAGAATTTTTTTTTTGCTTACATGTTTGTACATTGACGTTTATTTTATTAAATAATAACAGAATCTAAATCTTAAAAGAGAATGAATTTAAATGTAGCCTCTAATGTTTATAGATACGTTGTGAACTGTGAAATTTAGAATTTTCACGTGTTGTGAGATAAACAGGCAAAAGAAAGTCAACTTGGCATGGTTACCAACTTACCATAATGTGATCTTCAGAATTTATTGTGTATTTTTGGATCTGGTCAACTAAAAATGATACAAATCATCAAATATGTAACACATCCAAACTGTTCAGTATGACTTAAACTGCGTACTGAAAGTCTTCCAAAATGAGTATTAAATAATCAAATAAAAATTGTATGATTCACTAGGTTAAGTTACAAGCTTATCTAGGGAAAGTTTTCAGTTTAGAGATTCAAAGAAGTTTCAATGGGCTCAGAAACCTCTTGCAATCTTTGGTTGATATCTCCAACAGTGTTATCAAATATCGGTCACGGTGGATATCGGTGGTGGTTATTAGCTATCCACCATAGCCAAATTTGTGAAGGATGGCGGCACCACAGTGCCAAATGTCAGGTTCTTGGTTGCCATCAATAACACTGATCTTTGATGGATTTGAGTATAGGTTTTGAGTCGACCGATAATGTAAAGTGAGTTAATATGAAGCTTTGCAAAGCTTGGCTTATTTTGAATATTTTTTATTATTCTAATATCTGTAATTTCCTAATTTGATCTGATGTTCAATATTTCTCTTAGTAAATAATCTAAGTCTTTGCAGATTTCCAAAGAGCATGGTGGTATCATGAGATTCATTCAAGTTTCTTGTTTAGGCGCATCTCCTTCATCTTCTTCCAGGATGCTTAGATGTAAAGCAGCCGCCGAAGAAGCGGTTTTAAGAGAATTACCCGAGGTACATTTAGTTTCTCACTCTCTACGCCAGTAATTCATTTCTAGTTCCGTTATCAAATGTAGAAGGGCAACTATTCTTTCTAATATTTACATTTGAAGCTTAATAAAGAAAGGCTTTATTTTTTGTCTCTGGGTTTTATAGGCTTTTGGGTGGAAACGGAAATGATAATGGAATTTGAAATAAATAATCGTGAATGATAGAGATAAATGTCATAGACCAGTTACTAATACTTTTACCACCACAGTATTGGCTCTTCATTGTCTTAGTCTTGGCTCTTACTATTCTATGAACAAGCAGTAAATTAGAAAAATTTTATTCTTGCTTAAAAGGCCAGTTGGATAGCATTCTAGCTTCTTTTTCAAATTGTCTCCAGGAAGTATGTTTTGTCCTGTTTAAGCACCAATGCATTGTATTTATCTAATAACAAAATAGACATACCTTTTTTTTTTGGTGATAGGTGAAAAAAACCATTTGCATTCGTACAGTTGAAATATTGTCATTGTCATGTTTTGCCATCTTGCAAGAGCATTAATTTGAGAATTCATAATATCACCCTTAACAGGCCACGATCTTCAAACCTGCTGCTATGATTGGTACAGAGGACCGAATTTTAAACAGATGGGCTCAATTTGCAAAGAAATACGGTTTTCTTCCATTGATGGGGAATGGGAACACAAAGTATGTGTAAATCTGTCAAGCAACTACTCTAAACTTCAATGATTTTTACCAAAGTGAATTGTATTGTTAGTGATTCTTCCTCTTGGCATTGAAATTCATGTTTCTTATTTATTTTTCTTCGTACAATTTTTGCAGACTCCAACCTGTATATGTTGTTGATGTTGCCTCTGCACTTACTACAGCCTTGAAGGATGATGGAACTAGCATGGGAAAAATTTATGAGTTGGGTGGACCTGAGATCTTTACCGTGCACGAATTGGTACTAACTGACTTTATCCCTGCATTTGTGCATATCTTGTCAAAACAAGAAATATTGCTTTTAGGAAAAAATTTCGAAGATACCAGTGAAATGATAAGAAAGTGGACCGAAAGTGAGGAAAACTGAGAAAATCATATTTGTATGTGTAATCTTTTTGTTTCTGAACCTACAGTGATTAGAGTATTTATTGAGAAGGCTATCTAACTGAATTAGTTAGAGCACTAACTGTTTAACCAGAAGACATAAGATTCTAGAACAAGCTACACATGCTTAACATCTCAGTAATTCACAAAGCTAATAGTATTTCCTTGACAATGTAAAATTTGTTTATGTTAAAAATGCAGGCAGAGATTATGTATGATGTGATTCGAGAATGGCCTCGATATGTAAACGTGCCTCTTCCCATTGCTAAGGTGTGTTCATCACATACTCATTAGTTGATTACTTTTCTACTTATATGAAGTGCCACCAGGGGACATATTTTTTGCCCGGTGAGGATATTATAATGCTTTCAATATTTATATGCAATGCAATTCTAGAAGTCTCACATTTATAGTTTCATGCAGCTAAGTTCATTTTCATAATGTATCCAGTAATTCAATATTAAATATGTAATTGGGCTGGAATATCATTTCTGATAAAGCTATCTTGTATGAATGTGTTAATTTGCTTTACACGCTAATTGAGAATATCTGAGTTAGTAGCTCAAGATCTCATGTGTGGATTGGAAGACTTCTATTATTAGTTGGTCCTTTGTTGTTTTGTTTATAATTTGGTATAAGGTCCCTTTTTCTTTTAGCTAGGCCTTATTAACTGCTCATGGAAGGTGAATACTCAGCTTCCTATTAAGAGTAAATTGTGTCACTCTGAGAGTCTGATGTCATCTTATGCTAACATTGTGTCGGGCATGGTTGACTTCAGGCATTGGCAACACCAAGGGAATTATTATTAAACAAGGTCCCCTTTCCACTACCCAAGCCTGAGACATTCAATCTGGATCAAATCCATGCTTTTGCTACAGATAATGTTGTTTCAGAAAATGGTGAGTTCCTTACTTTATCACAAGGTCTTTGATTCTTTGTTCCAAGCCATCATTATAAAATTCCCTTTCATTGTCTTGTGTCCAAACATTTTCTATTTGATGAAATTCGCAGCTTTGACATTTAATGATCTTGGAGTTGTTCCTCATAAGCTGAAGGGATACCCCATTGAGTATCTTATTCAATATAGGAAAGGAGGACCACAATTCGGCTCTACAATCAGTGAAAAAGTCTCTCCAGATGCTTGGCCGTAAGATTCTTTGGATATTTGGTCCTAAATCATTTTTCTCTGTTTTGCCTGTACTATCACCATTTCATTTAACTATTTAAAAAATGATGGGAAAAGCTCAACTTTTTGTATCTTCCTTTCATAATGTAGAGTGAGTAACCATGTTTGTTGATGATGAAAATAAAATCCAGATACCTGATTTCTAAAAATGCCTTTGAATCAAAATCAAAGTCATATATTTCTAATTGTAATCTTGGATTCTCTTATGTTAATGCAATTGTTTAGGTCCTGAATCAGTTTCAAACTTTAAATCCACCTCCCCTGCTTAATATTGTCTTCAACCTCTCCGGAAAAAAAATTGTACAATTAAAGAGAAAGAACTGATAATGAATCAATAAATTTAAATATCAAAACAGGGAGAGCCAGAAAGAGAAAAAGCTTGGCACTGTGCTTCTAATAATAATAGTATCCATTTGAACCCGGCTTGGTTTCTCTAGAGCGTTTAATCATAATACATAGATCATTACAAGTTGTGTAAGTGTTGAGTATCTGTTAATTTTCTGCAGTTCTTTTTAAAACCCATAAATACTTTTTTCTATTTCAATTACATAATGAATAGATTTTTGGATTGTATTAAAAAACTCCTATCCTTGAAGTTTTATTCCTTACGATGATGGCCAGAGCAAATTTGAGCAGTAGAGAAATTAAGGAAACTGGTATAAGATGTAGCAGAAGTCTTGTGCAACTTTACGCGGACTCCCCTTATTCATTCATTCAAATAAGTAGTTGGTGGCATCAATTATCATTTTCAGATTCCTTACAAATAAGGGAATTACTAATTCCACCGTAAATGGTGGAAAAGTATTCTATGTGATAGTAATCCTTAACGTGTTTTTAATAATCCCCTACAAATAATAAGACTTTTCCCCTCAACCCCGAATGCAAAATAGGAAATGTGGACAGTATTATTTCATAAAAACGAGCAGATTTGCTTTATTGCATTATTGGCCTCACGACATGCAACATGCTTGCAGTGAGAATATAATTTTATTAATTAATAGCGTTTCTTACATTGGTTCTTAATAATTTAATTCAATCGTGGTGGATGGGATGATTGATATGTAATAATGATGATCATACACGCACTAACGTTAAGAAAGACTTGAGACAGCGTTGTTGTATTGTATGTGTGTCGGCTGCACTTTCACAACTAGACGACGACGCCAATATTTTGTTTTTTTCTTAAGCTGAAAACGTATGCTATAAATTGAAAATAAATAGTCTACTAGATTTAGACAATTTTTTGTGTGATATACTTTGAGGTGACTAACGCAAATTAAATAAGTGATTAATTACATTTACTAAAGATTAATATAGTTTATTAGCAGAGACAATTCGATTTACATAATCATTCATCCGTCCAATCCATTTATTAAATCATTTATCTAATACATCAATTAAATAAAAAATTAGTTAATAAATTGAACCTAATACATTCATCATATTTTGTAAAAGAATTTTAAAAAAATATATCAGCATATTCTATAAGTTTTTGTTATGATAAAATAATGACTATATGCAACTTTTCTTTAAAAAGAAATTGGTGTCAAAATAATTTATTGATGAGAGATTTTAAAAAAAATATTATTTTTCCTTCGTAAAATATTTAAAAAATGGTTTAAATAGTCAAATTTTATTTTCAACCTTTTTTTAATGAAATTTTAAATGTTAAAATCCTTTTGCTTTTTGTATCGTTCGGAACCAAAAATATGTAGAGTTGTAGAAGCTATGACGGAAGAGAGCTTCTGATGCGATGTAATAGGGATGTACCTACAAGGTTAACATTCTGACGCTCAAGTCAGTATGTAAACGATGATAAAGTATTCAAATTACATTTGAAACTTGTTACTTGAAATGACACCATCTCGCATATATATAGGAGAGATGAAAAACCATTTTGCTATCTTTCCGGTGTGGAATGTAGAGGACCGTTGGATGCGTTGGAGGTACAAATCTCCTGCTTTCTGGTCTCTAAGGATCCAACAACGGACAAAAGAATATTCTACAAGCTTAGTTTATACTTGATTGGGATCCGAGACGTCACGTCTTGTGGTGGTCGGACTAAAAAGGTATATGACCGACATGGAACAGTTGCCCCTAAGATTTATCGGGGTCTTAGGAACTAGGAGGTCTTTAACAATCTTGGTCGGTTATATCGAATGCGTACCTCAGATGCATAGAGAATTGAAACGTTTGGAATACTTTGTAGAAGTAATGAACACATTTATTGTTTCCTTGTCTCTGATTTGCTATCTCCCCATTGTTTGATCTGAATCATTGATCTTCAGATTGCTTTCCTTACAAGAGTTAAGGCTTTACTTTTTAATTTTTTTTTGGTGAAGTTGTTTCATACTTGTCTATTTTTTTCTGTATCGTTATGTCATATTCCCCAAATCCTTGAAACTCACCTGGCTCATCAGCTCCGATGGCAGCGATCATAGTAAAAGATTATTCTTGGGTCGAACCTTCATACTTAGTATATGAGTCTGCTTTTGTTCTAGAAAAGGAAACATTGTTTGGTCCTTTAGAAATAGGGGTTTTTCCCGATTGGGAAATCTCACCAGTTCCGACCGGAAAAAAAGATATTTCATCGAAGGGTGCTATGTCCCTTTTCATGCCTGTATTTCCAGGACTTCGTTGTTCGCCTTCCACTAAACCCTTTTGAGAAACAGGTTCTTAATCACATTCGAATTCCCCTTTCACAACCCTATCCTTGTGTCTGGGGCTTCGTACGAGTATTTAAATACGGGTACGAATACCCGGGGAAAATGAATTTGGCTTCTCGAGACTTCAATTTTTTGAAATGTGTCCTGCTTTGAAGGGTACCGTTAGCTGTGATATTGTTTCTCTCTATCATGTCCAAAACTATGTCTTCAAGGTCTACATTAATAGTTGGAAACAATTTAAGCCTAATTACTTTTTGGCTAAACCTCTTTATCCTCTCGCTCATGAGAAGTTTTGCGTTGTTTCATATAAGTACAAGAAGAACCCGATTTCATCAAAGTTCGCAGTTATCCCGATTGTCCCGACCATTTTTTAGGGTTGACTTGAGAAGACGCGTGTCAGGATTAAATAAATTACCTCTAGTAAAGATCGGGTAAAGAGGAAAAAATGAGAAAAGGTTGATCCTATGAATGGTATTTTCGAAGGGTTAGAAGGCGCTTCTTCTCGTTTGCTTCCCTATTGAGTTTTCGTTTTAAGCACTTTTTAAATGTATTTGGGTCCTTTTGTTTAAAAATCGTTGTAAACGCTCCCCGAATAAGGACCATAAATTTTTTCTTGTGAATACTGTAATGTGTGAAGTAGTCAGGAAAGTATATAAAGTTTGAGGGAAGAGGAGTTGAAACTAGAGAATTTAGGAAAGTTTGAAAATTGAGGTATAACCTGAACACCCTAGATTCCCCGAAGTAAGGTAACGAGTCCAACGTGTAGATTTGTGTCATAGTACTTGGATTTGAGAAGTATTTCCCGATTAGTTCATAGTGATGGTCCGACACGATTAAAAAGAATCGCTTGTATAAAGTTGATTGAAAGAACGACTTATGGCACCCAAAAAAATGATGAATAATGACGGTAAAGACAACCGATCCTTCTAAGTTGGGTAACCCTTACCCGGTTATTTAGCCTAACGGCGGTTGAATCTCTATAGTCATCCCAAAGTGGACTAATGAACGCCAATGCGCGAGAAAAAAAAGAATAAAGGTGCCTTAAAAAAATCTCGATCCAATCTTATACATGTGAGGGAAAGCGATTAAAAATGCCTTAATCTGATTATCCGAATGAAAGGGGTAGAAAATCGAATAAAAGACTTAAGCCCAAAGTATAGTTGGAGAGGTGACCGAAAGGGAGATTTAGGCATGTGGTTTTACCGCGGTATGTGTTTGTGTAATATCTTTGTTAACAGACGATCACCAAGAGAACTAGTTTTAACCGATCGAAATAAAGACTCATGTATGAGTATCGACACACCTTACCATTACAAGTCTTTTATTTGATATATACCGGTTGATCTGAAAAATGTTTATCCAAGCTTGTTGCTTGAGGTCAAGCAACAATTTAAGTTTGGGGGAATTTGATCAGTGATTTTTATACGTTATTTTACCATGAGTTTTAGTTAATTTTCTTATACATTTAGTTGCATTTTATGTACTTTTATCGCATTTTATGCGTTGGTTTGGTATTTCCATTGTTTTTAGGTTCAAGTACGCAATCAAGAAAAATCAGAGCAAAAACCGGGAAAAACAGCAGTAATTCGGAAGAGTTTTAAAAGTGAAATAGGGGCATGACACGACCACCCGTGTCACCTGACACAACCCGTGTCAGGATGGTACCAAGAAAGTGAAAGTTGAGGGTTGGGCAGTGGTCTGACACGGGTGCCCGTGTCAGGAGGTCTAGAGCAGATAACTTTTTGCAGCAGATATCCAGGGGGCTAACACGGCCGCCATGTCAGCTGACACGGTCCGTGTTGGCTGATGCGCTTCATCTTCCAATTTTCTTATTTTTTGGGCCTTTGTGATCCCTATGGGTATTGTGGGTATTTTACTATTACTATGTTGGACCTGGGAGTATTTAAGATAGATTTTGAGAAGGGAAAAAAAGACTTTTTTGGCCAGAGAAGAATTGTACTATCAAGATTGGAGAGATCAAGATGATTGGAAAACTGAAGATTTTCATGAGCGGAAGCCATTGAAGATCAAAGAACCCTATTATCTTGTAATGTCTAGTTTTTACTTTGTATTTTCTTCCAATATTATGAGTATCTAAACCCTCTAATGCTAGGGTGGTGTCCCTGATTTGAATCTGTAGTGACTATAATATTAGTATTGCAATGACATTTCCTTTGTTTTCATAACTGATTTGATCTCTAGTTGTTCTTAATGCTTGCCCTGTCAGACTAACAGGGTTTGATTCATGATTAACGATTAGGCTGGACCGCCGTTGTTAAGGTTTTGCTTTTGATCATGT